AGAAGCACTAAGTATATAAGGAAAGATTTTCCTCCTTCTCATGTTTGTATGTTGCTCAGGCCCAAAACCTTTGAATCTTCCTCCAATCCTTTCTTTTGATTACTCCCCACATTCTGTCTGCCAGAAATGTTCTACTTTCAACGTATATCCAGAATCCAACCACTTCTTTCTCATGTTAAGTGATCCAAGTCACTATCATTTTTCATCTGGATTATAGATACAACTTTTTTTTTTTTTGAGACGGAGCTTCACTCTTGTTGCCCAGGCTGGAGTGCAGTGGCACGATCTAGGCTCACTGCAACCTCTGCCTCCTGGGTTCAAGTGATTCTCCTGCTTCAGCCTCCCAAGAAACTGGGATTACAGGTGTCACCACCACACCAGGCTAATTTTTTGTATTTTTAGTAGAGATGGAGTTTCACCATGTTGGCCAGGCTGGTCTTGAACTCCTGACCTCAGCTGATCCACCTACCTTTGCCTCACAAAGTGTTATTACAGGTGTGAGCCACCACACCCAGCCCTGGATACAACTTCTTAATTGGTCCATTTGCTTCTACTCTTGCAAGAGTCTATGCTCAACCCAGCACCTGAGTGACCCTAGTAACAATGAAAGTCAGATCAGGCCAGCCCTCTGCTCCACCGTGAATTGCATTTGTGAATTATCATATCACCATCTTATACACTAATTCACCAAAGAGATTACCATTAATGCCTTTTTACGGAATGTTTGTGAAGCATCGTGAGAGAAGAAGAACAGCTCACTTACCTACCAAGTGGGAAAGTGCACAAGATACTTTCTGTACCACTTGCCCACTTGGTAGAGATTGTCAAAGTCAAGAGTCCCTAACAAATATTTATATATCTTATCTTTAATTTGAATGTATGAACAGATGATTGTCTAGATTTCAGAGTAATATATGATTCATAAAAGTATGCAATACCAGAACACATAGATTTAACACAGAATAAGGAAGTACATATAATCTAAACTATTTATTTTGGTGGAAAATATTTTTTTTAGAGACAGGGTGTCACTCAGTTGCACAGGCTGGATTACAGTGGTGTGATCATAGCTCACTGCAGCATTGAACTCCTGGGTTCTTACTCTCGTCTCAGCCTCCCATGTAGCTGGGATCACAGATACGCATCACCACACCCAACTAATTTTTAGAAACATTTTTTATAGAGGTGGAGTCTCACTTTGTTGACCAGGCTGGTCTTAAACTCCTGGCTTCAAGTAATCCTCCTGCCTTGGATTACAGGTGCTAGCCACTGTACCCAGCTGAAGATCCTTAACAACAACAGCTAATGTTGCCATTTATGGCTAATGAGCCATGATGATATCAACAGCTAATGAGCCATGATGATATGCCATTTAATGTGCTAGGCATTTTACCTGCATAATTTCATTTGATTCTCACAAGTCCACTGGTAGGCACTATTATTATATCTATTTTAATGATAAGTGCACTGGAACTTGGAGAAGTCAAGTAAATCACTCAAGGTTACACAGCTGGGACATGGCAAATCTGAGACACACGTATAGAAATGTATGATGTCAATGCCCATGCAGTCTTTTTTTTTTTTTTTTTTTTTGAGATGGAGTTTTGCTCTTGTTACCCTGGCTGGAGTGCAATGGCGCGATCTCGGCTCACTGCAACCTCCGCCTCCTGGGTTCAGGCAATTCTCCTACCTCAGCCTCCTGAGTAGCTGGGATTACAGGCACGCGCCACCTTGCCCAGCTAATTTTTTGTATTTTTAGTAGAAGACGGGGGTTTCACCATGTTGACCAGGATGGTCTCGATCTCTTGACCTCGTGATCCACCCGCCTTGGCCTCCCAAAGTGCTGGGATTACAGGCTTGAGCCACCACGCCCGGCCGCCCATGCAGTCTTAACTGCTAAGTCATATTACCTTTAATTTCCCTGATCATTTTTCTTATCTTTGGCTCTAGTGCTTCAGCCAATACTGGATATGAAATTTTCTGTACATTTAGTACAGTTTCAGTATGTTAAATAGCCTTTCCAAAATTCTAAAAATAATGCAAAGTTAGAGTCAGTTGAGTGTGGTAGATAGAGCTTGATCTTTAGAGCCAGCAAGACCTGAGTTGTGGGCCTTTGGACAGGTTACCCTGTGAAACCAGTTTTCTTATCTGTGAAATGACAATTATGCCATGTATCTGTATATAGAATGCTCAGTATTTTGTAGGCAATATATCAATAGTCACTATCAATCTCTAATGCTGAATCGTTTGAAAACTGTACAATCTCAAAAATAACGCAAATATTTTAATAGCATATAGATTTCTTTTTTTATATACTTGGTAGCTTAATTATTCATAAATTAAAATAGTAATTTTGTCTTCAACTCTGATTCTCACTTTATTTTCATATTCAATGCTATTGGTTTAGTCATATGACTAAATTAAAACATTGCTTCTTACAATAGTCTGTACATTACTAATGAATAATTTAATACTAGTAAGAGATTAATGAATTCTTAAATTATAACAAATTACTATTCTATCACAGGTTACACTTATATGTAGCATAAAGCTAATTATGGTCATTTACTTAGTCAGTACATTTTTACCAAGTGCCTATATGTGCCAAACACTGAACTATTTGCTAGATATTTAATATGAAAACACACCATCTCTACTCTGAAGAAATTATAGCCTAGCAGGAAGACATTCATGCCAAGAGGACCATTGAATCATTTGGAAAGCCAGTTAAAAGATACTATAATTGATCAATCAAAAACAAGTTGCTGAACTGGGGCAATGGCAGTGGGTTGAAATAGAGGGGGCATTGAATCTACTGACAATATTCAGTAAGTAGAACTGATGGAATGTGATTCGAGATGAGATGCATATTTGGGGAGGGCAGAATATAAAGGAAAGGATCTAAGCTGACTCATGGGCTTGTATTTGATCTAGAGGTACAAGTTGTAAAAATGATGTGCTATACAAAAGTATTTTTTCCTTAAAATCTAACTCATGGAATCATCAGTCATATTTAAATCAATAACAGCAAATGTAAGTGATAATAATTTTAAGTTTAAGTAGAGAAGGACAAAAAAATTAAAAAAATAAAATGCTAACAAATGTATCAAGTTACATCACTGCCATATAAATTATCATCATAATGCTTTATTATGATAAAAATCACTGGAACTATATGCAAAAATTTTAGATTACTGCTTTATGAATAATCTTGCATTTTCAATTCTCATTTGATTGATAGCAAATATCCAATCTCCCATGTCAGCAGTGGGTATTTAGAAGACATACCAATGTCCTTATTAAGGTGAGACTCAAATATGCTTCTAACCATTAACTTTGAGACTGGTGTCCCAGAGCCATTTCAGCAACTGTGTGTCCAGCTTGCTACAATTACAGCAAAGCCACATAGCAGGAGAAAAGTTTATATTGCAAAGGGATATACAGTTCTTTCTTGGTATCCATGGGGGATTCAGGATCTCCCTTGAATACCAGAATCTGAGAATGTTCATGTTCCTGATATAAAATGGCATACAAAATTTTTTTCAAATATTTCCAGTCCTTGGTTGGTCGAATCCACAGATGCGGAACCCACAGATACAGGGGGCCAACTCTAGTCATTGGATCGATCTGCTCTTTAAAAAGCTATTTAGAGTTTCAAGTGCAATCTGCTTGCTGAACAAAAATCCTCAGACACAATCAACCACAGGATTTCAACCAAACCTCAAGTATTTTACAAAGAAATAATATAGTATTTGTTCAAAGAGAATGAAACACCTGTTTCTAAGGGTGATTTAAGTCAATAAGTAATAAGCTAAATCTTTGTTAGGAATGCATTCTGGTGTCTGAATGACTGTTGCCCTTTCAGAGGGCAAAGTGCACAAAAGATTCAGTGACCTTCTGACTTGACAGTCAAATAACTACCATTACATTCAGTCAATGTAAGTAAGCATGGCTGACAATTTGCTAATTGGCCGCCTGTGGTCAGTCAAGGGTACTTTTGACCTTAATGAGAAGCTAATCAATTAATACTTAGGGCAATAAAGACTTCTTACTGATTAAGTAAGACAGAAATCATCTTTTTCTAACAGGATTAATTCTACAAAGTGACCAACTTTTTATTTAATATATGGTCATCCTGTCTTTTTTGAACTCTCTTATTTAGCTAACATGGTAAAACTGAATTATGGACGGTGAAATCTTTTGTTCAACTATGCTCCAAGCTTTTTTTTTTTTAAAACAAGCAGTGTAATTCAGATACTAAAATGAGAACGTCTGGTGTTTATTTGAATTATATGATAATCAACTGAACCTGATATGATCATGGAATTGAAAAACATGTATGTTTTCTTAAACCAGAAGAGTCCATATTGAAATCGTTAAAAAATAATGAAAATCACTAGAATTGTTTTTAAATCAGGGTCTCTTTTCTGGCCACTACTAAGATGATAGTAGCTAGGATTCCAGAGGCATACAGTTTTCTTTTTAATAGTAAAGAAAGATGATACTATTGTCTCCCATGAAGATATTTTTTAAATGCTCTTAAAATAGAAATTTCTTTATGTTACAAGAGCAACTGTCATTTTAAGTCACAAAGCATAGTCTTCTCTTCTGTAGTGTGGTTGATATAAAGCAGCATCCTTTTATGTGTTCTGTAGACTAGGTAAACAGCCTTTATGCAGAAATGCAGCCATAATTTGTAGGAACTTCCAGAATTACTTTCTGTTTACAATGCATAATATCTGACTTGGCAAAGGAATAAATTTATCATTTTAGGTTAAAAATTTATCATTTAGACACAGTGACTAAAAATTTATAATTCTCTGAGATAAGTTTTCCTCTTTAAGGCTTTGCAATTCATTTGGCTCAGATGATACTTTAGAAAATGCATGTATTTTATATAGGAGAGCAGATATGGTTCCTTTAAAAAACAGTTGAAAAGCAACAGCTGTGTATCTGCAATAACTGTTTCATGACACTTTTAATACAGATAAATATGCAAATATGTCATACTATTTTTAATACACCATTTTCACACAGCATAGTGACTGAAAACAGAGCAAACATTCTGTGTATTTAGATTCATAATGAGAAATACACACCACTCAAAACTGGAATTATTGTCATGTTGTAGCAAGTAATAAAAAATATGTTTTTGGATGGTAAATAAAACAGTGCTAAGTCATAACAAGAACACTGACAAAGTCCAGGGAGTAGCTGTTCAGCTTCTACTACCATGTCATCAATATTATTTAAAAAACTACAAAGCACTGCTCAGATTCTTCTGCTGATGGGATAATACATGTTAATATCACAAACAATAGGTAATTTTATCTAGATTCTAGTTTCTGAAGACAGGGTTTCACAATTTAGATAAGTAATTCAAGTAGTTAAATCAACTTACATTTTTTAGTAGAATCATATGAGATATCCATAATGGAGTTAGAATTAAGTCCCATGGATTCAACCGAACCTCACTATGCTAAGCTTTCTTTTAATATTGCCCACAGCGACTTTTTCCATATTTATTATGAAAAATGTCAAATACAAAGCAGAGTATAATCGGGGACATCCACATACACCTCCACCATTAACATTTTACTATACTTGTGATATCATATATCTGTCTACTATATTTTTTTCTTTTAGATTTTGTTTTTTTTAAAAAAAGCCTATTTTGGGAGGGCAGTTTTAGGTTTACAGAAAAGTTGAGTAGAAAATACCAAAGGGTTCCACATCACCTCCCAACCCCTCCCCATAGTTTCCTCTATTAACATCTTGGATTAGTGTGGTACATTTGTTACAACTGATGAGTGTCTTAGTCCGTTTTGTGCTGCTATAACAGAATACTACAGACTGAGTAATTTATTAAGAATAGAAATGATTTGGCTTACAGTTTTGGAGGCTGAAAAGTCCTCTATAAAGATGCCACCATCTGGCGAGAGCCTTTTTGCTGCATCATAACACGGTGGGAGGCGTTGTATTGTGAAAGGGCCAAGAGAGGGTGTAAGGGCAAAGAGGCAGGAGACAGGAGTGAACAAGAGTGGGATAAACCCACTCCTGCAATAATAGCATTAGTTCATTCATGAGGGTGGAGGCATCAAAGTCGAATTAATGATTAAATATCCTACCTCCCAAAACTGTTGCAATGGCAATTAAATTTCAACATGACTCTGGAAAGGACAACCATTCAAAACATAGCATTCTACCCATCTACACAAGGAGCAATATTGAAAAAAAATTTTTTTTTTGAAGTATTCCATTCCCAGCCTTTCAAAATTTTTTTTTTTTTTTATTGAGAAGTAGACTGCTGCACAGTGACTGAAGGCCACCCAATGGGCACTTACACATTGTACTCCAAAAGACACAGGATGTTTTGCTAATAAAAACCAGTGGGAACAGGGATTCCTCTGGGCAGCTTCCAACCTCATTCCTTTCAGAGATGGAGAAATCTCCCATTTTCCTGATGGCAGCTGTGGTTTACTAGAGATAGAGCCCCTCAGGGGTGCCTTCCTGTTTCTTATAAAGAACATTTTCTTCAGATTTTTTGAAGTCTTCATTTGTTACTTTCATTCTATGTTCTCTTAAGGCCATCAGATGAGCTTCTGTACAGATTGCCTTGATGTCAGTACCAGAGAGGTCATCTTTAGCCATGATCAAGTCGTTCAGGATTACATCATCGGCCAGTGTCATCCTGCTTGTGTGAATCTGAAAGATGTGCTTCTTAGTCTATTCATCAGGCAGGGGGAACTTGATCTTCCTGTCAATGTGGCCTGGTCTGATAAGTGCTGGATCAAAAGTTTCTACTCGGTTTGTGACCATGATAACTTTCACATCTCCCCTAGAATCAAATCCATCCAACTGGTTCAACAGTTCCAACATTGTTCGCTGAATTTCTCTCTCACCACCAGAATTTGAGTCATATCTTTTTGTCCCAATGGTGTCAATTTCATCAATAAACACAATGGCCGGTGCATGTTCTTCAGCATCTCAAAACAGTTCCCATATGAGTTTGGGCTCATCACCTAGGTACTTCTGAATAAGTTCAGAGCCAACCACTCTCAAAAAAGTGGCTGAGGTTAGATTTGCTACTGCTTTGGCTAACAAGGTTTTACCTGTGTCAGGTGGACCATAGAGAATGACCCCCTTAGGAAGCTTTATACCCATCTCTTCATAATATTCAGAGTGGGTGAGAGGAAGCTCCACAGATTCCTTAATTTCCTGAATTTGGTTGTCCAACCCCCAATATCGGCACAGGTCTCCTGGGGGGCCTTTGCCACCTTCATCACTGTGACCCGGGGATTTGTGTCAGCCATCAGCACCCCTATCACAGCATGCACCTTGTAGTTGAGCAGGACTGAGCAGCCAGGTTCCAGCAGACCCTTGTCTACAAATGACAGAATGCTGATGTAGTATTCTGAGTCCACAGACGTAGACACGATGGCATGATTGTCATTGATGATCTCTTCCAAGGTTCCTACTGACATCGGGGTGCCCCTCAGATCATCCATTTTTGATCTTTCCTCCTCTTGCTTTTCTTCTAATGGTTTCATTTGTTCCTGATTTCTAATGAATTCTTCCTCCATAAGAAGGTAGTCTTCAATTCTCTCTAATTTCAGTAATTTCAACCGGCACTGAATGTGAAGTGTCACCAGTGGCGATTTGCTGGCAGCATCTGGTCCCTTTGTTTTCTTCTTCTTTTTCCCCACTCTAGTTGGTACAGGAGGTTCATATTTCTTTTTCTTGTCCTTGTCATCCTTCTTGCCACCTCCAGAACCATGACCACCACTTTGACTTTGACCCGTCTTGCCTTGGCCTCAAAATTTATACATTGTTTCCATCTCAGTGGCTCCCAAAGTCTTAACTCCTTCCAGCATCAACTCAAAAGTCTAAGTCCAAAGTCTCATCTAAATCATCTATGGGTGAGACTTAAGGTACAATTCATAATAAGGTAAATTCCTCTCTGGCTGTGAGCCCATGAAATCAAAACATGTTACATGCTTCCAAAATACCAAGGTGGAACAGGTAAAAGATGAACATTCTTATTCCAAAAGGGGGAAGAAATAAACAACATTAAATGATAAGGCTCCAGAATAATCTTTCTGGACTCCATGTCCTGCCTCCTGAACACACTAGGGTGGGGGTTGGGCCCCCTAGGCCTCAGACAGCCCACCTCTATGGCTTTGCTGGGCTCTGCTCATGTAGCTGCTATCACAAGTTGAATTCCTGGGGCTACAGAACCACCTACTGGTGGTTCTATAGTTCTTGGGCTTTAGGGGTGGCCATACCCCCATGGCTCCACTAAGAATTTCCCTGGTGGGAACTCTGCAGTGGCTCCACTCCTGTGACAATTCTCAGTCTGGGCCTCAGGGGTCTCTGAGGTATCCTTTGAAAAATAGATGAAGGCCACCACAGTACCAAGGTCATGCACTCTGTGTCTGCAGAGTTATCACCACGTAGACACCAAGGTGAATGGGTCTATAATGTTCCTGAGAGAGGCGGCAGGACCACTGGTTTTGCTCTTAAGGTCCTAGATGGGAAAGACAGCCTGGAAGATCTCCTCAATGCCTTTGGGTTGTTCTCTCATTGTCTTGATGAATAGCATTTGTCTTCCTTCTATCCATACTAATCCCATTATCAAAGGGTACCTTGGCTACGACCTTGGTATTCTCTCCCAAGCAAGCTTTTTAATGTTTTATATGGCCAGGCTTCAAATTTTCCAAGTGGTTGCATTCTGCTTTCTTTTAAATTAATTATAAATTCCATCTTTAAATCACTTCTCTTTTCTGACATTTTACTATGCTCAGTTGAAAGAAGCCATGCAGCACCCTCAATATTTTGCTTAGAAATTTCTTTCATCAGATATCCTGGTTCATGGCTCTTAAATTCTGCCTTCCATAAAGCCCTGGGCCATGGACACAATTCAGCCAAGTTCTTTGCCACTTATAATAAGGACATAAGGATGGCCTTAACGCTAGTTTCCAATACCTTGTTTCTCATTTCTGAGAGTTTATTAGAATTGCTATTACTGTTCACATTTCTATCTATATTCTGATCATGAACAGTTAAATAACCTCTAAGAAGTTTCAGACTTCACCACAGCTCTCTTCTGAGCTATTAAAAAGCAATTCACCAGAATTACCAGTAAGGCTCAACTCTTGACAACATAGGCTTTTTCCAGCATTCACTTCAAAACTGTTCTACCTACTACCCATTATTCAGTTCCAAAGCCACATTCACATTTTCAGGTATCTGTTATGTGAACCAAAAGTATTTGAGACAGATCTCTATCAATTTAGAAAATTTATTTTGTCAAGGTTAAGGACATGCCTGTGGCACAGTCTCAGGAGGTCCTGATGACACGTGCCCAAGGTGGTTAGGATACAGCTTGGTTTTATACATTTTAGGGAGACATGAGACATAGATCAATACATGTAAAATGTACATTGGTTTAGTCTGGAAAGGTGGGACAACTTGAAAGGGGGGCTTTCAGGGCATAGGTAGATAAAAAAATGGTTGCATTCTTTTGAGTTTTTGATTAGCCTTTCTCTGAATATATAATTCACATGTGAAGTGGTGTACAGAAATAGTCACTTATGTCTTAGTCTGGCTCAGTGAATCTACATTTTGACATAAACAGTAGAGCAGAGGAAGCAATCAGAGATGCATTTGTCTCAGGTGAACAGAGGGATAACTTTGAGTTCTATCCTTTGTCCTGTACCTGTGAAGATAAGCTATTATTTTACTTAGCCAGGGTGAAATTCAACTGTTTCAGGGGAAAAATCTTGAGGCCCCCAAGGAAGTTCCTTGTGGGCAAATTGTGAGGGAGGTTAGTAGCTTTTTAATTCTTGTAGCTATCTTATTTAGGAATCAAATGGGAGGCTATTTGCCTCAGGCAGTTCCCAGCTTGACTCTTCCCTTTGGCTTAGTGATTTTGGGATCCCAAGACTTATTTCCTTTCACAGTTCTAACAACTCTCCACTCTCTAATACCACTTTTCTTAGTCTGCTTTGTGCTGCTACAATGGAGTTCTTGACTGGGTAATTCATAATGAATGGAAATTTATTTTATAAATAAAAATTTATTTATAGAAAATAAATTTTCCATAATAAATGGAAATTTATTACAGTTTTGAAGGCCAGGAAGTCTAAGATTAAGAAGCCAGAATCTGGGGGAAGGACTCAAGATGGCGCTGTGAGAACAACCCAGGATTGGAGCTCTCGTTGAATCCGCAGAGAGATGAGTTGGAGCTGCATTTCCAGACTAATCTTTGTTGCCCATGGAACGGGGAAATTCCCAAGTGAAGAGGAGACGTGGGACGCCAGGCAGTACTTCTGCCTGGCGAAGCCGGCAGCCGGGGTGGCAGCGGCCGGCCCTGCCCAGCGCTCCCCACAGGGCGCGCTTGTCCGTGTGCCCTGTTGAACCAGCAACCTGAGACTTGAGAGGGCTGGACTTGAGACTGAGCAAGACTTGGACAGTGGGCCAGCCCAGGGGATTGCAGGGACAGAGTGGTTGGGGTGGCCCAGTGGGACGAACAAAACCGCGATTTCAAACGATCCCCATTCAGACGGCCTGAGACGCTCTGTGGGGGAGGGGCGTCCACCATTACCGAGGCAACCCGCCCCAAATGAGATACATGCCCATTGCTGACGCAGCCAGCCGTTGCCGAGGCAACCCGTCCCTACTGAGATACAGGCCCACTGCTGATGCAGCCTGCCATTGCCAAGGCAACCCGCTACAACAGAGAGACTCTGCCGCAGGGCATAGCAGAGAACACAGCAGAACAGAGCCTGCACACCAGGGCGAACCACACAACAGCAGGGCGGAGCCTCGGCAGGCAAACAGTGACTAGTCTGCCTCCTAGCTGGGCAGGACCTCAATGGACATCCAAAAATAAAGCCCAAACCCCCCAACACAGAGCATTTGAGAGAAAAAAAGGTTTTTTTTTAATGAGCTCCGTTGCAGCAGAATCAAACATAGCAGCCTAACAGCCCTGAATGAACAACAGAGCTCAAAGCTCAGCAATTGAGCTCCTATAAAGTACAGATGGTCTCCTTAAGCAGCTCCCCGACCCCTCTATATCCAAAAGACTGACATTTGGCAGGCATCATCCTGGGACAAAGACAGCAGAAAAAGAAACTGGTAGCATCCCTCGCTGTGCCACAGCTGCTAGAGGTGCACCCCAGACAAGCAGGGCCTGGAGCGGACCTCAGCAGTCATACAGCGAAGGGGCTAGACTGGTAGAAGGAAAACCAAGTAACAGAAATACTTCATCATCAACAATCTGGGTGTCCACTCAAAGACCCAATCGAAAAGTCAGCAACTACGCAGACGACAAGCGGATAAATCCACAAAGATGGGAAGAAACCAGCGCAAAAAGGAAGAAAACACCCAAAACCAGAACACCTCGCCTCCTAGAAAGGACCAAAACTCCTCACCAGCAAGGGAACAAAGCTGGATGGAGAATGACTGTGACGAAATGACGGAATTAGACTTCAGAAGGTGGATAATGAGAAACTTATGTGAGCTAAAAGAACATGTATTAAATCAATGCAAAGAAACTAAGAAACTTGAAAAAAGATATGAGGAAATGATAACAAGAATCGATAACTTAGAGAGGAATATGAATGAATTGAAGGAGCTGAAAAACACAATATGAGAACTTCACGAAGCATGCACAAGTTTCAATAGCTGAATTGACCAAGCAGAAGAAAGAATATCTGAAGTCGAAGACCAACTCAATGAAATAAAATGAGAAACCAAGATTAGAGAAAAAAGCGCAAAAAGGAATGAACAAAGTCTCCAAGGAATGTGGGACTATGTGAAAAGACCTAACCTACGTTTGATAGGTGTACCAGAAGGGGACAAAGAAAATGAATCCAAGCTGGAAAATACTCTTCAGGACATCAACCAGGAAAATTTCCCCCACCTAGCAAGACAGGCCAACACTCAAATGCAGGAAATACAGAGAACACCACAAAGATATTCCGCAAGAAGAGCAACCCCAAGGCACATAATCATCAGATTCAACAAGGTTGAAATAAAGGAGAGAATACTAAGGGCAGCCAGAGAGAAAGGTCGGGTCACCCACAAAGGGAAGACCATCAGACTCACAGCAGATCTCTCGGCAGAAACACTACAAGCCAGAAGAGAGTGGGGGCCAATATTCAACATTCTTAAAGAAAAGAACTTTCAACCCAGAATTTCATATCCACCCAAACTGAGCTTCAGAAGTGAAGGAAAAATAAAATCCTTTGCGAACAAGCAAGTACTCAGAGATTTTGTCACCACCAGGCCTGCTTTACAAGAGATCCTAAAAGAGGCACTACAAATAGAAAGGAACAACCAGTACCAGCCATTCCAAAATCACACTAAATGCTAAAGAGCATCAACATAATGAAGAATCTACAACAACTAACAGGCGAAACAGCCACTTAGCATCAAAATGGCAGTATCAAATTCACACATAACAATATTAACCCTAAATGTAAATGGACTAAATGCACCAATCAAAAGACACAGATGGGCAAATTGGATAAAAAGCCAAAACCCATCAGTGTGCTGTATCCAGAAAACCAATCTCACATGCAAGGATACACAAAGGCTCAACATAAAGGGATGGAGAAAGATTTACCAAGCAAACAGAGAACAAAAAAAAGCAGGAGTTGCAATTCTCATCTCTGATAAAATAGACTGTAAAGCAACAAAGATCAAAAGAGACAAAGAAGGACATTACATAATGGTAAAAGGATCGATACAACAAGAAGAACTAATGATCCTAAACATATATGGAACCTATACAGGAGCACCCAGACACATAAGGCAAGTTCTTAATGACTTACAAAAGGACTTAGACTCCCACACAATAATAGTGGGAGACTTTAACACTCCACTGTCAATATTAGACAGATCAACCAGACAGAAAATCAGCAAGGATATCTAGGGCTTGAACTCAGACCTGGAGCAAGCAAACCTGATAGACATTTACAAAACTCTCCTCCCCAAATCCACAGAATACACATTCTTCTCAGCACCACATCACACCTACTCTAAAATTGACCACATAATTGGAAGTAAAGCACTGCTCAGCAAATGCAAAATGACTGAACTCATAACAAACAGCCTCTCAGACCATAGTGCAATCAAGTTAGAACTCAGAATTCAGAAACCAACACAGAACCGCACAGCTTCATGGAAACTGAACAACTGGCTCTTGAATGTTGACTGGGTAAACAATGAAATGAAGGCAGAAATAAAGAAGTTCTTCAAAACCAATGAGAACAAAGACACAACATGCCAGAACCTCTGGGACACATTTAAAGCAGTCTATAGAGGAAGGTATATAGCAATAAGTGCCCATATGAGGAGAATGGAGAGATCCAAAATTGACACCCTATCGTCAAAATTGAAAGAGCTAGAGGAGCAAGATCAAAAAAACTCAAAACCCAGCAGAAGACAACAAATAACTAAGATCAGAGCTGAACTGAAGAAGATTGAGACACGAAAAACCCTTCAAAAAATCAATAAATCCAAGAGCTGGTTTTTTGAAAAGATCAACAAAATAGAGAGACCACTAGCCAGATTGATTAAAAATAAAAGAGAGAACAACCAAATAGATGCAATAAAAAATGATAAAGGGGAAATCACCACAGATTCCACAGAAATTCAAACCATCATCAGAGAATATTACAAACAACTCTATGCACATAAACTAGTAAACCTGGAAGAAATGGATAAATTCCTGGACTCCTGTGTCCTCCCAAGCCTAAACCAGGAGGAAGCTGAAACTATGAATAGACCAATAACAAGGTCAGAAGTCGAGGCAGCAATTAAGAGCCTACCACACAAAAAAAGTCCAGGTCCAGACGGGTTCACAGCCGAATTCTACCAGACACACAAAGAGGAGCTGGTACCATTCCTTCTAAAACTATTCCAAACAATCCAAAAAGAGGGAATCCCTCCCAAATCATTTTACGAGACCAACATCATTCTGATACCAAAACCCGGCAGAGACCCAAAAAGAAAAGAAAACTTCAGGCCAATATCCATGATGAACATAGCTGCAAAAATCTTCAATAAAATATTGGCAAGCCGATTGCAACAGCAAATCAAAAAACTTATTCACCATGATCAAGTAGGATTCAACCTGGGGATGCAAGGCTGGTTCAACATATGCAAGTCTATCAACGTAATTCACCACATAAACAGAACCAAAAACAAAAACCACATGATTATTTCAATTGACGCAGAGAAGTCATTTGACAAAATTCAACAGCCCTTTATGCTAAAAACCCTCAATAAACTCGGTATCGATGGAATGTATCTCAAAGTAATAAAAGCTATTTATGACAAACCAACAGCCAATATCATACTGAATGGGCAAAAACTGGAAGAATTCCCTTTGAAATCTGGCACTAGACAAGGATGCCCTCTTTCACCACTCCTATTCAATATAGTACTGGAAGTTCTAGCCAGAGCAATCAGGCAAGAAAAAGAAATAAAGGGTATTCAAATAGGAAAGGTGGAAGCCAAATTGTCTCTTTGCAGACGACATGATAGTATACCTAGAAGACCCCATCACCTCTGCCCAAAAACTCCTGAAACTGATAAGCAACTTCAGCAAAGTCTCAGGATATAAAATCAATGTGCAAAAATCACAAGCATTTGTCTACACCAATAACAGACTTAAAGAAAGCCAAATCAAGAACGAACTGCCATTCACAATTGCTACAAAAAGAATAAAATACCTAGGAATACAACTCACAAGGAACGTAAGGGACCTCTTCAAGGAGAACTACAAACCACTGCTCAACGAAATCAGAGAGGACACAAACAGATGGAGAAACATTCCATGTTCATGGTTAGGAAGAATTAATATCGTGAAAATGGCTATACTGCCCAAAGTAATTTACAGAATCAATGCTATCCCCATCAAGCTACCACTGACTTTCTTCACAGAACTGGAA